TTACCCCCCGAAACAACCATAATTGTAATTACGTCACATCTGTGTACAAAATAGGGATCGATACATGGCTAACATTCAGATCAATATTTTCTTTTCGGACATATTACATATACCGGGTGTACTGAGATCTACGTCGCATATGCCAGCATAGAACTTAGAATGAGGTCTATGATACCCGATAGCACCGTTTCTTATCATTACCCCTCCATGGAAAACCTTTATCTGTCACCGTGATGGGATAATACGCTTCCGTCATGTGCTTGCGACTTATCTTGAGACATAAAGGAGCACTTCCAGTTAAGCCTTTCTGGATTAAAATTAAAATGGATAACAAAAGATAGATTAACACTGTAAACAACATAAACAATAATGTCCCATGATTCTTTGGTGCAATCTCAGGGCTTGGAAGTTTCCTCTTTAAAATTCCACGCGGGAAAGTGTCAGCAACGCCCAAATAGCCTCGATTTCAAAGTGGCCAATTGAATGATTTGTTTCCAATCATGTGATATGACATTTCCTATTAGTGTATTTCATACTATCTCATGTCTTCGTTATAAATATTCTGATTTCAACCATTGCTGTTACACATTTTACAACGACAAAACACGCTGAGTGTGTGCGTTACAGTGTTGTTCTGAAGTATATTAGCAAAATCGGATGTAATGTAGCTTGACCTATTAATCACGTGGTCGACCCGTCTTTTTGTTACATTTTGCCATTCATTTGACGTAGGAGTTGACCCGCGATTTTAATGTTATCGCTTTTAAATGTTATATATATTTGCTAGTTAATGAGTATAAACCGCACTCGCGGTGTTGCTATTATCTCCTCTACAAAAACGTCTTCATGACCGCGTCAACGCGATACGGGATTTTGCTCCCTTATATTACACCTCACTCAGCAAACTGTGATTCCGTTGCTCTTTGCTCCTACTAAAAACTACTAGAATTCAAAAACCTACCTGTGAAGTCATGATAGTGTGACGGAAACCTGGACGGGGGATCATGCTGTATTCGGCAAATGTGGTGTTGCAAACTGTTATTTACTTTTTATTTATCAGTACCGTGACATATGCACTGGTAAATGTAATATGATATGGGAACCCTTTCGACCACGGACAACATAATATTCTCACATGAATGATGATGGTTTTAAAATGGATTTAAACAAGGGTCTCATAATTTGTCTTTGAATACTCCGTTAGAGTACATTGTCACTGAATCGGTGATTTCGAAATGGCGTTAATCAGTAGGTACGTGAGCGGAAAAGTGAAATGGCCCCCATGCTTAGACTCGCTCATTTCCGGATGGTTAGTCGTTGTTTTATTATAAATAAGTGAAAATTGGAGTTTCTGGAAATTGGAAACGAGTAAATACGAGATTATGTCGTGCACATCACAATTTTGCATTCCTGTCACCGTGAAATTTTAATTATTTATAGCAAAAAAACAAACAAATATCATACGCTCGATATTTCTAACTATTCATGTTTCATAATAAAGTCACACCATGAATGAAATGTCGGCATCTCGATTCACGTTGAAAATATCACCCGAACTATACGATATAAAACGAAATGGGAATCTAATTTCTCAAAATATGCAAATCGTATTATACATACGGTGATACTTCCGGCGAATTAACCAAGGTGACAATATAGCACAAATATAGTGATAATTGCAATGACAAAAAAACTTTCATAATTTTATGACTTACATAATCGATGGTTTGAACG